GGAGCCTGCTTCTCCCTCTGCCTCTCTCTCTCTCTCTCTCTCTGTCTCTCATGAATAAATAAATAAAATAAATAAATAAATAAATAAAATAAATAAAAAAAGAGCACTTTAGCTGTTGTTTGGAAAAGGAATTGTAAGAAGGCATGTGAATGGAAGCCTAGTGACCGTTGAGACCAGTTATGAGCACCAGAGTGGCAGAGGTGGACATGTGAGAAGAGTTGGTTTGAGATATATTCCAAAAGTAGAGCTGATGAAATGTGTTGATCAATTGTATTGGGCACAGGGGCTGGTGGCCGCAAAAGAAAGCACTCAAGGAAAACCACTAGCTTTGGAGCCAGGGTAACTCTGTGGTGCTGGGGCCCTTAACTGAGGTGAGAAAGTGTACGTAAGGAGAAGGGTTGGGGGAGGGGTGGAAATCAAGACTTCCATCTTGGAGACGGTTAGTTTGAGATGCTTACTAAACCTCTAGGTAGCAAGGTCAAACAGACAGCTGGTGGATATAGACTTTTAGAACTTTAGGATCAGAAAATTCAAGATCAGAAAGTGTATAGGAATACATCTTCTATATTGCCATGAGACATTAAAGTTCAGAGAGCATTTTGTTTTTTCTTTTGGAGTCTTTACTAGATTGAGGTTTTAAAAATGTAAATAGGGTTTTGGTTCATGTCTGGGCTCCAGTTAGAACTTGGAAATCTTTCAGGTGTGCTCAGGCAAAGCATCATTGATCATGTATTGTGGATGTCATTTCTTGTGTATGCCTCGTGCTCTTTTCATTCTTCATTATCTTGTCCTACAAGTTACTTCTTAATTGCTTGTGAGCGGCTTGTGAGTAGAGTAAGAGAAGAAGCATTGCAGGTTTGAAATGTTTTACTCAGCCTCATTTCTGATCATATTTCTTACATGCAGCTGTCCAGAAAGGAAGGCTCTTCCTCTATGTTTCCTGATTTGTTTTACGATAATTTTTAGATTTGTTTTCTGTTTACGTACAAGCTGACATTAAATAAATCAGGTGATTTCTATGAATAGATAAATGCAATAGACAGAAACAAAAACAAAAATCACTAACATTCTGATGCCTCTGTTACCCGGGTTGCACAGAAAAGCAAGGGAACATCAAATTAATTACTGTCACAGCTCCTGGAATTTATGCTATTGATTGTGTTGGGAACACAAAGTGTTCCACATTCAGAACTAGTCGCTTGTAGTGTTGTTAATTCCCAGTGGGAGATTTTCGGCACTTTTGAGTAAGTCTTTTAAATCCTTAACCTCTATTCTGCCCTTTTTATTTTTGTATGTCATGACGGTACTATTCTTAATGCTGAACATACTTTAGTCATTATTTATTAACTTTACAAGAAACCATTCATTGCAATAACACCCATTGCTGTATCTCCTTCAGCAATCGTTTAAACACAGAAAAAGATCGTTGTAAGAATGAATAACAAAAAGCACTGAGTTTTAGAGTCCTGGATGCAGAATTTTCTTCCCTTGACTTTTGCTAAAAGCACTAAACATGTTTATTGTTTCTAAATTAAATTCCCCCACCTTCTCATATCACATGGTTTCAACATTCAGGTTGCTTTCTTATGAATATGCTCCATACTGTCTTTGTTCCTTTTAAAGTACGGTAGATAAAACTAGGCAGAGAGCTCCATGGATGGCTCAGGAAATGAATATTGACATACTTCATTCATTCCTTGTCCAGTAACAAGCACTTGTGTGTGTGTATGTGTGTGTGTGTTCATACAGTTGATAATACAAAATGAACAAAGCACATCACTAGCATATCAGTAACACTGTACTATAGTAATGCCAAAGTAAAGAGAGTGCTGAGCACGCCCCGTATCCACAGTGGGTGACGATGGGGGAGACCATTGGCTCCTAGGAGGCAGGAATCAGGTGTGCCTTGTTTATTACTCGGCCCCGGAACCTGGATCAGTCCTGCTCAATAATAGGTGCTCAATAAACACCTGAATGCTTCCTGAGAGTTATCTGGTTTGAAATCAAACCCAGACAAAATAAGTGCTGTTTGTCCAAACAAAACCTGTTGCTCTTAAAGGAAAGGAGTTGGTTTGGAGACTCTGTTTTCACACAGCGGTCCGCTCCATGTATCTGGGAAGTACGGAGGCTGCACAACCAGCGTCATCCTTGTCCCCAGAATCTCCTAGTGTTTGTTTTCTTCCCATCCTGCCATAAAAGAGAATCAGGACTTAGGCCTTGTCATTCAGGAGCTGGTGCAATGAAGAAGTGGCCGGTGAGGTACTGTCTCTGGTACTTTTACCCCAGAAGCCGCTGGAATAAGATAGCACAGATAGACTAGACAAAGAAATTAATGGGGAAAAAATAGTGGGAAATGCTAGCAAGAAGTCCAGAACAACTTCAAATGCCAAAAATTTATCTTATTCATCAAAATACCGTCATGTCTGTAGCCCATATTTTTCTGTAACATTGTTAAAGTTCAAACCAGGAAGTGTTCTCAAATCCAGTAGGTTCTAGGTTGAAGGACCCATCCAAAGAGCATTTGACATTTTACCCATGTCACTGTAGGCCACATTTAACCAACAAGCAGCCTCTTCCCACAGTTTGAAGCATAAGGCAAATGACACTCCCAAGAGATGAAAGACACGGTGAGACCATCAAAAATTGTTGAGGGTTGGTTTTGTTTTGTTTTTTCCTATTTGAACTTTAGAAGAAGAAAATGAAGTTGCCATTTGAGTCCCAAGATGCCAGGAATGTCACCTTTATCAGCTGATTTCTCTCACCATCAGGAGGGCTCTAAGTGGGTTCCACGGCAACCGCCTGTCACCGTTGGGTTCCGAAGTGTGTACTTTCTGAAAATCACCCATCCTGCTGTGTAATCAGCAATATTTGCAGAAACCCTTAATGCCAAAGTCATGTTAAGGTCAGCAACAACATGCCAGAATCCGAAGAAAAGAAAACACTTTTTGAATTTGACATTTGCCAGTGACTAATTTCTTTCTCCTCTCTAAACATTTTGGGAGAGGGAGACAGTACCTTGAAGTAGTCTTACTTCTCTTCCATGCCACTCACTTCAGGATCTTATACACGCTCACCTCCAATTCCTGAGACTGTCCCAAGTAGTCTCTCTACTTTCAGTTGCTTCCATTCTTCGCCGTCAGTCCATCCTTTATACTCTGCTAGAATGATCTTGCCAAAGCTCCTATCTGATTATATCATTTTCACCTCTTAAAATCCTCCTAAGGCCCCCTGTGGCTTCTCAAAGTCCAGAGTCCGTAGTTGGCCTCCAAAGCTGATGACGACCTGCCTCCTGCCCATCTCCCCGAGCTCACCTCATGCCTGTCTTCACATGTGATCTGTGGGTACCAAAAGGAACCACTTGTCATTCCTGAAAACCAGCCTTCATTCACACCCTCATGCCTTTGTACATGGTCTTCCCTTTGTCTGGAGTGATGTCATCTGTAATTTACTATAAAAATACTTTAGCATTGATGGCTTGATTTTCTTTTCAGCTAAGAGCTGCTCAGTTTAAATTTCAACCACAGTCGCAGTTTCCCTAGTCGTGAATCCCACTCCAGGATTGGTCAGCTTTCATGATTATCAGCAAGGTCACATTCCAGAGGGGGCTGCAACCAGTGCAGTTACTGGTGTCTTGATTAACAGTATACACCTTGCCAGTTAGCACAGGAATGCCAGTATGAATTTTTATTGGCGAAATTAGTCATTAATTGATGCAAGTATTAGATGATCACCCATAATGAAAATGAGCTGGTTGTCAAGATTTTTAGATTCCCCTGCATAAGCAGGTTGTAAGAATATAACACATCCTATACAAAACTTAGCTCAAAATGGATCAGGGCGCCTGGGTGTCTCAGTCAGTTAAGCATCTGCCTTTAGGTCATGATCTCAGGGTCCTGGATCGAGCCCCGTCGGGCTCCCTGCTCAGCCAGGAGTCTGCTTCTCCCTCTCCCTCTGCCCCTCCCCACCACCCACTTGCGTGCGCACTCTCTCTCTCAAATAAATAAATAAAATCTTAAAAAAAAAAAAAAGATTTAAAAAAATTGAATCATTGATCTAAATATAAAACCTAAAACTATAAAACTTCCAGGAGAAAACTTAGGAAAAAAATCTCTGTGACGTTGTTTAGGCCAGGATTTCTTACATATGACCCCAAAAACACCATCCATAAAAGAAAAAATATGATAAATTGAAGTTCATCAAAATTAAAAACCATTCTTCAAAAGACATCACTAAGATGAAAAGACAAGCCAAAAAGTGGGAGAAAATATTTGCAAAATGCACATCTAATAAAGGACTTGTATCCAGAACATAAAAAGAACTCTCAAAACTTAAGAAAACAACCCAATAAAAATATTGGGCAAGGGGCGCCTGGGTGGCTCAGTCGTTAAGCGTCTGCCTTTGGCTCAGGTCATGATCCCAGGGTCCTGGGATCGAGCCCCACATTGGGCTCCCTGCTCAGCGGAAAGCCTGCTTCTCCCTCTCGCACTCCCCCTGCTTGTGTTCCCTCTCTCGCTGTGTCTCTCTCTGTCAAATAAATAAATAAAATCTTTAAAAATATATATATCTAGGGCAAGAATTGTGAAGACAAAGGTATATGGATGGCAAATAAGCACATGAAAATATGCCCACCGTCATTAATAATTTGATGAGATAATTAATGAATTAATAATTCTCATTATTAGGAAAATGAGAATTAAAACCACAATGGGATACCACTATACATCTGTTAGAATGACTAAAAATAATTTTTTTAAACTAACAAACGCTTTAAGACTTTATGCTAAGTGAAGTAAGTCTGACAAAGACAAATACTGCGTGATATCACTTATATGCAGAATCTAAAAACAAAAAAAGTCAAAATCATAGAAACACAGAATAGAAAAGTAGTGGCTGGGGGTTGGGAGAAACAGAGGTCGGTAAAGGTACAAACTTTCAGCTATAAGATTTGAATAAGACCTCGGAATCTAATATAAAACATGATGACTTTGGTTGATAACACTATATCATATAATCGAAATTTGCTAAGATGCTAAAAGAGTAGAACTTAAATGTTCTCATTTTAAAAAAAAAAAAGGATAAATATGTGACAGACGTGTTAAGTAACTAGATTGGGGGAATCCTTCCACACAATATATGTATATCAAATCAAATCATGATGTGTGCTTAAAATGTCTTACAATTTGGGGGCGCCTGGGTGACTCAGTCGGTTAAGTGTCCTACTCTTGATTTCAGCTCAGGTCATGATCTCAGGGTCATGAGATCAAGCCCCACATCGCGCTCTATGTTCAGCTTGGAGTCTGCTTGTATCTCTCCTTCCCCCTCTGCTCCTCCCCTTGAGCTCTCTCTCTTTAAAAATGAATAAATAAAACCTTTTAAAAAAACTGACAGCAGTAAGTGCTGGTGAGGCTGCAGAGCAACCAGAACTCTCGTATGTTGTGGATAGGAAAGCAAAATGGCGTAGCTCCTTTGGAAAACTGTTTGACGGTTTCTTATAAAATTAAAATATACTTACTATATGACCCAGCAATTCCACTTTTACCCATGACAAATGAAAATTTATATTTATATTTACACAAAAACCTGTACATGACGCAGCTTTATTTATAATCACCCAAAACTAGAAACAACCCAGATGTCAACTGGTGAATAGTTAAATTGTAGTATCTCCATACGGCAGGAATCTGCTGATCAGTAACAAGGAACAAACACAACATGAGTAAATCACAAATGCCCTAAGCAGAGTGAAAGAAGCCAAACTCCAAAAGCTACATACTATATGATTCCATTTATATGGCACTCGGACAAGACAAAAGTATAGGAAGCATATATAAATCAGTGGTTGCCAGATCCTTAGGGTATGGGTAGAGGTTGACTGCAAAGAGGCTCAAGGGAATTCTGGGGGTGATGATATTATTCTATAATTTGATTATAGTGGTGATTATACACTGTGTGGATTTGTCAAAGCTCATAGAACTATACACTGAAAAGGGTGAATTTTACTATTTATAAATTATTTCTCAATAAACCTTACTTAAAAAAAGAAAGATGATAGTCAAGCCTGAAGATACATCATCAGGGATAATGCCCAAGACTTTTGCAGCCTTTTGTTTAGGAATATTTCCTATTACCTGGTGCAGACTGTAAGGGTAACAGAGTTTTGACTCTGAATGTCTTCCTGTCTACCTCTAGTGAACCTTCCATGACATGATCAGACAGAGCACCTAAAACAATAATTAAGACTTCACTGGGTTTATAGTACAGCCTATTTGAGCTATGTCTGCCAATGGATGGAGGATTTTGTTTTTGTTTTTGTTTTTTAAAAATGCCTGTACGTGTGGTAGAATTATTTGGACTGAAACTTGCTTTTGTTACAGCTTAACACCAAGGTTATGGAGTAGGCAATCCTTACCCATCTCAGGCTTCTTTGGCAGTTACCAATAACTACCAAAAAGAACCTAAAAAGTGTGCATGGTCAGAATGACTGAGATCATGTCAACACAGGAATGCCCTCCTTCCTCAAGCTCATTCAAATCATCTTCTTTACTTAAGTGTCACCCTATGTTGTGACACCCCATGGCAGACTTCCATGGTCCTCTGGTACATGTGCTTCTGAGTGAGATGCTGCCTTCTTTTGGTCTTTTTTTTTTTTTTTTTTTGGCCTGCCCCACTAAGCGGTGTGGAGTCCTTCAGGGCACAAATCATGTCTCACATTCCTAAGGGCCAGCACAATTTTATTTTTAAATAAATAAGTAAATTGATTTTAGTGTTTTACTTAAGTAACAGATTAATTACAGTAATAGTGATGATAGCCAACACTTGCTGGGCACTTGCTCTGTGCCAGGCGCTTGACGTTCAGTAGCTCCTCAGAGCACCTTATGAGGTAAGTGTTGTTGCCATCCCAGGTGCACAGGTAAGGAAACTGAGACACAGAGAAAGTAACCCGCCTAAAGCCACGTAGCCAGCAGTTGTTGGAATTGGGAACTGAAACCAAAGGAGTCTCATTCCAGAGCCAGCTCTTTCGAGCTCTGTGACCTGCGCCTCTCATTTTAGCTACAACAGTATCTGTTGAAAGATAAAATGCTTTTCACACTAGGCATGTAATCCGGTCTTTGAAAGGAATTTTAGAGCTCATTTATTCCTTACCCCCGATGTTTGGATGAAGCAAGCGAGGCTCACAGAAGCTGACTTGCTCCAGATCACTCTTCTTCGTTAGATGGCTTTCCAGTGAACAAGCAGAAGAGGACGTAAATATCTATGGGGCCACTGCTGCTTTAAATATTTGGGTGGTCTGTCCCAAAAAGATTATTGTTTTCATCAGGAAAATGTATTACTAACTGCTCTGTGCATCTTTGCCTTTGTCAGGGTTCACTGTTTCCACTATCTCATCCCCCTTGCAAAGGAGGGGAACTATGCCATCGTGGCTAATGTGGAAAGTATGGATTATGACCCTCTGGTGGTCAAGCTCAACAAAGACATCAGCGCCATTGAAGAGGCCATGAGTGCCAGCCTTCAGCCGCACAAGTTCCAATATATATTTGAAGGTCAGATCCTGTCTGTGTCCCTAGGATTTGGGGAGGAAGGAAGGATGAAGGGTTTTTGGTTTTTTTTTTATTGTTCTCTACTATTGAAGTTCACAACTTGTAGTTGTTTGGGTTTTGTTTTGGTTTGGCTTTTTCTTTTTGGACTAAAGCTGCAATACCTAGTCTCTCTGCGTATGGCTAGGTAGACAACAATATGGCTGCCATCTGCTCCTGGTTGATAAGATTTAATCCAACATAAGGCAGATGGCAGCCTGGCTGCCTCCCTGACATGCCACTCATGAGAGTTGGGTAAATATGTAGAGTGGACCATGAGTTAGCTCAAGAGAAGCTCATAAAAGAAAAAGAAGCACACATACAATGAGAAGAGGACTCCAAAAAGAGATCTCTCGATGACTAAAATTATCAGTGGAAAGGGAAGTTTTCTCTCAAAGAATGCACTATTGTCTGAAAAGAACAGAAACCTCTGATCAGCAGAGACTTTAGGAAGGCTGCATCCATAAATGCCTTGGGGCAGGCAGGCAGGGAAGGGCACGAAAGACCGTTCCATCTAAAGGCATTCACCTTCAAGATTTTGAGAAATGTGATGCCAGGCAAATAATTTTTCATGCTGAATTCCTCCCATGGGGGGGACTTTTAGGACTTCAAACTATATTCCCTTCTTTCTCATTTTGGTTTATTTGTATGTAGGCCTGAGTCCCAGGCCTGACATTTTAGTCATCGAGAGATCTCTTTTTGGAGTCCTCTTCTGTGGTGTCTGTCAGAATTAAAGCAATGATATTAAAAACAATTAAGAAAGTGCATTGTGCAAAGGATTGTAGAACCTGGAGATAGGAAAGAAAGGCTTGGCTATTGCTTGCTTTATTAAACAGTTATGTCCCCGCAAATTTGGACCAAAAAACTGAAAATCCTATTTTCCCATTAAATTATATCATAGAGATGGAGATATGTTCGGAAAGGAACTATCCCCAAAAGACTGTAGCCGAAAAGTATTAGTGATTAAAAGGTTAACTGTTCTCTCCATGGCACTGAGAATTTAGGGGCCATGTGTATCAACATTCACAGTTCCCAGACTTTCCCTATCATTTACCCAGACATTTCTTAACATCTAATCCTGATGAGTAGCAACATCTTCTTGAAATACGGGTATAACACTCTGATGTAGAAAAGAAATGAAGAAATCATGAATTGGAGACCTTCTGTTTAAAAAACTCTAGCTAGGGCGCCTGGGTGGCTCAGTTGGTTAAGCAACTGCCTTCAGCTTAGGTCATGATTCTGGAGTCCCAGGATTGAGTCCCGCATTGGGCTCCCTGCTCAGCGGGGAGTCTGCTTCTCCCTCTGACCCAACCCCCTCTCATGCTCTTTCTCATTCTCTCTCTCACAAATAAATAAATAAAATCTTTAAAAAATATAAATAAAAAAATAAAAAGTTCTAGCTATTTCTCTGTGATACCACTCTCAAAATTCACAAAGCATAATACTGAATTTCCCAAAGGGTGGGGAATGGGGATGACAGGGTCTCAGTCTTCTTTGGTGTGGCAGAAAAGAGCATTTTATCACAGATATTATTTGAAATTGCCAGTGGATAGTAGTAATATAAAGCAGACTTCTACTGGGTTTGATTTTTAATTATTATTACAATCTATTATGTGTACTTATTATATAAATTTACTTTTTTTTTTTCAAGTGGGTTCCATGCCCAGCGTGGAGCCCAGCACGGGGCTTGAACTCCCAACCCTGAGATCAAGACCTGAGCTAAGATCAAGAGTAGAAAGCTTAACTGACTGAGCCACCCAGGCACCCCTAAATTTACTTATTTAATATATTTATTATTATTCACTATTCTCTACAAACACCCCCCTCATTACCTCCACGTAGGCAGATTGCCTTTTACCATGGTAGAACAAAAGTATATCCAGAGTTATGGGCTCAGTAAAATCACACTCAGACTTGACCTACCTAGAGAGATTTTTCACATCAGTCAGTGGCTTTAAATGTAAAATCCATATGTGTGTTTCTTTTTCTTTGAGTAAAAAGCCTCTTACTTCCCTTTTAAATAGTTGCACGTACAGGTGGGTTTGTGGTCTAGAAGCAACACTACACGAGTGTAGCTGAGGCAAGAGAGAATGCTCCTCCTCTCCCTTTTCTACCTTCATCCTAGTCAAGGGAAACTCATTTTGCAGACCGAGGGAGTCATGGAACCTGAAGCTCCCCCCGAACCTTCACCACGGAGGCACTATGACTTCAGAAGAGGGAAATCATGAAGGCAGTAGGCTGCTTGTGACTAGCCAGACTAGCTTTAGAGTTCCAGGGGAAGCTTTGAAGAATGGTAACCCACATGCATCAATTTCTTACTGACATATTTTTGCTTATTAGGTTCCAAATCAATGTTTGAGCCAAAAAGACACCCCTGTCTTTTTTTGTGGGAGGAAGAGGAAACCAAAAAGATCATTGTATTTGCATGTGTTGTTCTATGCTTCCAGAACCTCTTTACAGGAAAAAAAGAGTTCCAATGCTCTTCAATAGTTTATAACAACCTGGCATATTTTCTAAGCCCTTGACATGGTGGCTTGAGGTATATATATATGGCAGTGCTGGAGCAATGGATATGTTGCATAAAGCCTCTCCATTTGTAGCTTTTAGGACAATGTATAAATATTCCAAAACTGTTGTAAGATCAGTGGGTGCAGCACCCCTCAGAGATATGTTTTCTTTGGTCATTTAAATTTTGTGGAGGATTTGAAGAAAGAAATCCTTCCAAATTCATGTGTAAGTTCATGCAAGGTGACACTAATCTGTCTTCTCTTCTCCCCTGCTCCCCCCCCCCCCCGCCACTGCTCTGTGCTGGTCCCTCAGGCCTGGGTCACCTGATCTCCTGCATCCTCATTAATGGTGCCCAGTACTTCAGGCGCATCAGTGAGTCTGGCATCAAGAAGATGTGTAGGAACATCTTTGTCCTGCAGCAGAATTTGACCAACATCACCATGTCGCGGGAGGCAGACCTGGATTTCGCAAGGTAGGAGGAAGGACCAGGCTTGGTCCCTTGTACCAAAGTCAAGATCCCATTGCCTATCAAAATCACTTAGAAAAATGGATTCTTGGTACTTAAAAAGTTAATTTAAGAAAAAATGAAACAATCGGATTTTCATCAGTCTTAGAGAAGGTAATTCTCTACGATTCTATTGGCTGTTTAACCTCCCTTATGCAGGGAGTTTTCCTGTTCTCTAACCTAAGTTCTTCTTACTACAAAACTTCAGTAACTTTCCTATTCTAGAAGTAATATTTGCTCATTGCATAAGATATGTCACATAAAATACAAAAAAAAAAAAAAATCAATAAACATGACTCATAAGCCTTTCATCTGGAGACTATGACATTTGGTGTAATTTCTCTTGGCCTTGTGCCTCCGCCATGGATACAAGTGAATTTTCATATTATGCATGCATGTAACTTGTCTTTGTACAAAATTGGAACTACGTTAATGTAATTTTATATTTGTTTAATTGCATTTTCCCGTATCAGCAACATTCTTTGAAAACATTATTTTTCCCAAAGCCACTAATAGTTCTTGAAAGGACAGTTGATCCTTGAATGACATGGGTTTGAACAGTGCAGGTCCACTTACATGCAGATTTTTTTCGTACATTACTATTAATGTATTTTCTCTTCCTTATTTTCTTAACATTTTCTTTTCTCTAGCTTACTTTCTTATTAGAATACAGTATATAATACATATACAAAACGTGTTCATCAACTGTTGATGTTATTAGTACAGCATCTGGTCAACAGCAGGCTATTCAGAGTGAAGTTTTGGGGGAGTCAGAAGTTATACATGGATTTGTGATTGTGTGGGAGGTTGACACCCCTACCTTCCCACATTGTTCAAGGGTCCACTTAATCACTTTTAATACCTGAACAAATATTCCATGGTATAAGTTAGACATTATTTAATCATTTGCAAATTTGTAAAATTAGGATTTTTTTCCCTTTTTTTCTCTCATAAATAACATATGTTGAATGTATGTTTTCATGAATCTTTTCCTCATCTCTTCTCTCTTTCCCAGTTGAAATCCTTCTTCTCTTCTTGTTTTCATTGTGGGGACAGTCCTTACTCATCATCAGCCATGCTCACCCTTCATGTCCTTAAAGGCTCTTCTTTTAAAGACTACTCTTTCTCTTTCCTAGTTTGCTGATCTCAATTTTTAATGTTTCTTTATAATGCACTTTTTCAAGTTTGAAGGGTTGTTTTATTCTTTCTTCATGTGGTCTCAACACTGTATACTTTACTTAAATCATCAGACCTTTGGTACTTCAATGAAAGCTAAAACAGTTTTGAAGAGGATAGACGATGATTATGGTATCTTGGTATTTTATTGCTGTTTGTACCTTGGTGAATTAGTTCATAAACTCCTTTATGGCTAGGAAGTCTTTTTTTTTTTTTTTTTAAGATTTTATTTATTTATTTAATTGACAGAGAGAGAGAGAGCGTGAGAGAGAACACAAGCAAGGGGAGTGGGAGAGGGAGAAGCAGGCTTCCAGCCGAGCAGGGAGCCCGATGCAGGGCTCGATTCCAGGACCCTGGGATCATGACCTAAGCCAAAGGCAGTCGCTTTAACCAACTGAGCCACCCAGGCGCCCTGGAAGTCATTTGTTTTTAATCCCCCAGAATTCTCCTGCCTAACATTTGTACTTCTGTGTCATTTCATTTGATTTTTGGATTCCTCAAGAAGTTCCAGAAAAATTTGAAACAATTTTTAAGACTTTTCAGGAAATGATGAAATATTACATTACGTTGACAGTTATCAAGACATATATGCTAGGATCTTTGTTTTGATAGCATATAACCATATATCTTCATTTTTAACTTTTCTTCTCCAATCTACCCCCCCATTTGTTGTTCCATTGCTACCCTGTTCCTCTGCTTCTCTGTCCTCCTTCCCTGTCTTATTCTTCCTTTGTGCATGTGTGTGTGTGTTACATGTCCATTAAATTCCCTATTTTAGGCTAAATTTGGTAGAAAGCCTTCTTTGCTCAGATTAGGGAAACGAGGTGTGACTGAATGCTGCATTTATTTGGTCGCTCTTATGGGGAATGATCTCATTATTGAATTAGTCTATTCATAATAGCATTGACAAGGGGAAGTTAAGAACAGGGAGGCCTGAGGGATACAGAAAAGCATTACTAATTCTCTGAGGAATATAATTCTTAAATTCAATCATCTTTTTTTAAATGATTTTTTTTATTTAGCTGAAATAAGTAAATTAACAGGTTTTGGCAGACAGTATGGGGCCCGAACACGTACTAAAGAAACTAGCAACTGAATAATGAAATGTTGACTGGGCAGTATTGAGGTTGGCATCAGTGGGCTGTGTGCCAACAGTGTTTCTTCAGGAAGTAATTGAATGGCAACTGAGCCGTGCCTTTTATAGTTGGATTTGTGAATGATGTCCAAGGCAGTGGGTGTGGACTGAAATGTGACCACTTGGGAGAGGTACTGCTTCTATTGCTCTTTACTCTTAATGGATTATGAAAGGAAATAGGCAGCATAAATATGTAGCATTGGATGATTCTGTCCTTCCGATCTTGGTTCAGAAGACCTCTCCTTTTTTTTTTTTTTTTAAGATTTATTTATATATTTTAGAGAGAGAGAGATCGTGTGGCAGGGAGGGACAGAAGGAGAGGGAGAGAGAATCCCAAGCAGACTCCCTGGTGAGCGGGGAGCCCGACATGGGGCTCAATCTCACAACCCTGAGATCATGACCTGAGCCGAAACCAAGAGTCAGCCGCCTAACCGACTGAGCTACCCAGGCACTCCTCAGAAGACCTTTCCTTATTAGACTTCTGTGTCCCAAGAGACCGAGATGCTTTCTGTTTTCTCAGTGCTGGACCAGAGTAAGTGCTCATCATGTGTCTTGAATGAATGGATAGGTATCCAATCAAGGCTTCTTTTGGTGTTGATGAAGGGCTTAGATAATGACAAAGTTTCTGTCTTTAATACCCTGAAAGTTTTAACTAGCTGACATGGGTCAGTGTTCTTACAGGCTTACAAGGAACAGCATCTCCCTAGAGCAGAAAGCATTTTATAAAAGGAACCATATATCCCTGCTATTCACTGTCTCTTTCTCCCTCATTTGCTCTTGCTCTCATACGTACAACATACATAGACACACTTTATAGCCTTATTTTTTTCTGTTTCTGTTTTTGGTAGGGACAGGTTTCATGAAATGGGCTCCATCAATTCCACTGAATTTGAAGCTATGTAAAATAAATATAACAGCGATACCAAAATAGCCAGAAATAATAGACTGCAGCAGTGTGCCTCAGCGTTCCTTAAGCAGTGTCTAATCAAGCATGGGCAGCATCTGTATTTCCAGCAAATCTCTATAGGAATGTTATCTTCTAATGCAGTAATTAATCACTAGTTGCCACGTGTCAGAAAACTTACTTAACAAGAAGTTGCAAGGCTCTTGTAGTTTTTCACCTCCGTAGGCTCCCTGGCCAGTGGAAAATATAACACCCTTTCTGTAATAAAGAGGAACCTGGAGTGATTCAATTTATGTTGATTCTTCTACTTGCAGCATTGCTGTCGATCTCTTTTTCTACACACCTTTACTCTCATCTCCAGTAGGAGGATAAATCTCGGGTGAGCAAAGGATCAGCATAATCTGCATAATCACCAGAATTAGAGAAACCCTGTCCCCCATGATAATGATCTTTGCTATGGTTTTGACCCTTTTGACCCCACTGTACGTTTTCAGATTCAAGACGATACTTTGTCCTGGAAAATGACTGCAGATTAACTAGAAAATGGAAGGGCTTCTTGAGTGGCTTTTTTTAGTTCCTTTCATCAGAAATCATCTTCCCCTGAGCTGCCATGCACTTCTCCAGAACTGAGTCTCTGAAACAACCCAGGAGTCCAGGCACTGCGTCACGGGAAAAGTCTGGCTGGGCACTGAAGTCCCCAAAGTGGATCTGACAGTCTTTGTAGTTTAAGTGAAGCCATTATTCAAGTAGATGAGTCCAGAGTTTTCTTCCTAGTTCTTCCCGCTCTCCCCACATTTTCCCTCCAGTATCTCTCTCTCCCTTTACAGTTTCTCCTACATCTCTCCTGCCACCTTATTAGACTTCTTTCTCCTACATCTCTCCTGCCACCTCTAGTTCCTGCTTTCCTCCTTCAAGGCTTCATCTCTCCTCGATTTTTTTCTCATTTTGCTTTTCTTTAGACTGGCATCTCTCATAAATCCGACAAAGATAAGGAAATGAAAGCTTAGATTCAGGAAGTCATAAGGGGAGGAGTTCTAACACATAAGAAAGCTTCCTCACCCTTTTAGTCATTCATTCATTCATTCAACTGATATTTATTGAGTGTGTATTCTCTTTAGGTCCTGCCCTTATGGAATTTACATTATTGTAATTCAGGCAATTAAGACAGACTAATAAATAAGTAAAATATAAAATATCTCAGGTGGTGATATATGCTATGGTGAAAAATCAGGCATGGAAAGGGGAAGAGAGTATGCCAGGGGATAATGAAGGTAACCCACAATTTTGGAGTGGTCACGGAAGTCCTTAATGATATGGTAACATTTGTGGAAAGACCTAAAGGAAGACAGGGAACAAGCCATATGGATATCCAGGGGAAAAGCATACTAGGAAAAGACACGTAAGAGGAAAGAGCCAGAGGGAGAAGTATGCTTGGCATTAAAAGAACAGCAAACTAATGATGTAATGTATGGTGATTAACATAATACAATTTAAAAAATAAATAAAAATGAAAGAGAAGAAAAACGATAAATAAAAAAATAAAGAACAGCAGAAAGGCCAGTGTGTTTGGCTGAAGTGAATGAGCAAAAGGAAGAGTCAGAGATGAGGTCACAGGTTTCATCTAAGAAGCTGAGATCTTGAAGACCGTTGCAGTAAATTGGCTTTTACTTGGAGTGAGGTAGGAAGTTATCAGATGGCTTGGAACAGAAGACTGCCATAATGTGACTTACATTGTAAAGAATCGCTCCTGGC